GCAATGTCTATGGATCCACTTTATTGGACATCGGATGAACGCCATGACAAATTCAGCTGGCATTTAAGGGTCTTTGCCTGCGCTGACCATCGGAGAGAAAGAGCTGGGGTTCGATTCGCGCTAATTGAACGCATCCGCTGCCACCAATGTAGAATAACCGAGCCCTAATAGGTAAAAAGACCGGTACAACAGAACAGGCTTTATTGACCAATCAGAAGCCAGAGCCACGCGTCAGGCGACTTCCATCCGAGTCCCCGACACTGGCCACGCCGCTCCTTATCTACTGCACCTCATTCGTGTTATTCTCTGGTTGGCTGCTTATATTCCTCGCATGCCATTGGAACACAGAGAGACACAGGATTGGCTGCGGCCAGGTGGTCCAAGATGTCTGCGCCCTAATCCGACGCCACTGTAGAATACCCGAGCCCTAAAAGGTAAAAGACCGGTACAACAGAACAGGCTTTATTGACCAATCAGAAGCCAGAGCCACGCGTCAGGCGACTTCCATCCGAGTCCCCGACACTGGCCACGCCGCTCCTTATCTACTGCACCTCATTCGTGTCATTCTCTGGTTGGCTGCTTATATTCCTCGCATGCTATTGGAACACAGAGAGACACAGGATTGGCTGAGGCCAGGTGGTCCAACATGTCTGCGCCCTAATCCGACGCCACACTGCCTCCGCCTCAGCAGTGAAGCTGTCCTCAGCTTCTGGCTTGGTCCACCGCACTGTTGTTGATATCCAGTGTTGATAAAATATCCAGTTAGACACTCCCGGCACCCCACATCTGGCATGATTGCGGCTCAAGCGAAAAGTTGACGAGGGACTTTGCTCTCGTAGACTTGCAGGAAGGACTCATCATCCGTTGAAGGTCCATTCGCAGATGCGGTCCAGCTGGCTTTCACTGTCCAAGTCGTCGTCGCTGAGTTGCCAATGCCTCTTCAGATGAAGAAGTCCTAATCCCGGGCAATGTCTATGGATCCACTTTATTGGACATCGGATGACCGCCATGACAAATTCAGCTGGCATTCAAGGGTCTTGGCCTCTGTTGACCATTTTCGGGAAAGTTCTGGGGCTGGATTCGCGTTTTTTGAACGCATCCGCTGCCACCAGTGTAGAATACCCGAGCCCTAATAGGAAAAATACCGGTACAACAGAACAGGCTTTATCGACCAATCAGAAGCCGGAGCTACGCGTCAGGCACCCTCCATCGGAGTCCCCGCCACTGGCCACGCCGCTCATTATATACTGCACCTCATTCGTGTCATTCTCTGGTTGGCTGCTTATATTCCTCGCATGCCATTGGAACACAGAGAGACACAGGATTGGCTGAGGCCAGGTGGTCCAACATGTCTGCGCCCTAAACCGACGCCACACCACACCACACCACAGTCACCAACCTGACTTTTTGGCCCCGTTCGATTGCCTAGGCGGCCGATTTTTCTTAGTGTCACTTTGTTTGGAGACCTATTTTTTCAATGAGGCCATTCACGTTGATCAATGTTTTCTTTTCCACTGCTGCGTTATTGTTTAGCCTTTGCGGTGCATTTACTTTGCCTGGATCAAACAATTCTTATGCATTTTGGGACATTAAATTTGATCCCTCCGTAATGGTTTTGGAACTGGGTGAAGAAGGAAACGTTTCTGTGGTTTTCATGTGCGCTTTCGTGTGGTTTAATGATTCTCATATATTATGTGTATGTCCGATTAGATGACAATTTGTTGTTTCCTTTGACTACACCTGTTAAACAACCCACTTGTTAATATTTCGTCTTCTAACCAAAAAAATGTGTCTATGACAACTTGGAGTGTTGAGATTTTCGCCGCGATTTACTGTCTAAGTATAACTGGTCTTGTAAATACACATTAGTTTACTTTTCCGATTTGTTTTTTAGTTATATTTTGTCGTTTTAGGGTACCTCTGCCAAATTCTGCTACTTTCAACTTCACATACCGAGATTCTACGGGTAATCCTTTCAAAAACACCTCGTCTATGCCCATACAACCGATCGCTCCCTTTAAACGAGTCAGCGGATCAAACGAAACCCATCAAACTGTCGTTTATTCGAACAAACCAGGCGCCATTAAACTAGGATTGAATACCACCGATCTGAATATCACAAAGTGCGTTGTTTATCATGCATGCCACTCACATATTTTCGTATAAAAATCTTAAATGTGCCACGAATTTCCAACTTCGAAAATTAGTATCCACTAACTTCCAGTGACGGTTTACTGATAGGCAATTTTACAGCTGTGCGGTTTTCCTTGTAACCTTTTAGCATTGAGCGTCTGCACACGAGCATAACGGTGGTTCGGCGGCAATCCTTGTACGTCTTTCAGCAAATTGTTGGTTGGATTTATTTCCTCTCCTGGACGATCTCATTTTATCCGCAGGTTATTCTAAACTTCACTCGAAAAAGGTAAAGTTGCAGTTCCTTCTTCGTTCTCCAAACTATCTCAGTCTAACAATGCTACTCACATTTGTCATCTGCTTGCTTCTGTAAACGTTATTTAAGCAGAATTGGACATTGTCGACAGCTTCTGCGCTGTTGCTTGCTTAGCACACCGATCCGTTTACATTGATCACCATACGAGCTGCTCTACTTCTCACGGGAAAGGTCACAGTGTAACACGGAAATGTCTAACAATTTTTGCTAAATTTCCTCAACCACGACTTGCTTTATTACCTTTCTTTTTGCAATATTCATGGTCGAAGCTATTTGCACTGTCAGGCTAGCGTATAGGTGCCAAATACGCTCCCGTTTTGTTATTGCTTTTCTCTCGATTACATCACAAGGACTGATTCTCTTCTCACTTTGTAGCGTAACTGGTCTCAGTTTCGATTTTATCGCCTTTAATTTAATTGGCTTCGCGTGCTACACTGCCTTCAACGCCGGACTTTACTTTGTACCGTACATTCAGGTAATACCGGTCCCGTATCTCGTGTGATTCTTTTAAATAACTACGTATCATGTTTAATACTGCGTACTTAATTGTTATAAGTAGTGTTTTTCACGTAACCCAGTTTCATCTTCTGTCTAGGAACAATACTTCAGAAACCACCCTCTTGGCGTCAATCCAGTGCAACTGAATGACTTGTTCTTTAGCCTCCATGCTACGGCAATCGTGTTGGTGCAGATTGTACAGTGCCTCATCTACGAAGTAAGTTGATTCCCATTTTTCCATTGTCTTCTCGCTCCCTCTCTCCCCCAACAACTCTTTCGTTTCACTCCAGAGAGGCTCACAACGGGTGTCCAAGACGTGCACCGCAACCATTTGCATGATGCTCATCTTCATCCTCATATCGACGATTTTGGCTGCTCTGGATGTGATCACGTGGCTCACTGCGCTTTACCTCTACTCCTACGTCAAATTACTCGTCACCTTGATCAAGTACCTTCCTCAGGTGAGCTGTGATTGGCTGAATAACACCCACCAGACGCTCGTTTTGGCTGGCGTTTCAGAGTATCGATTTGGAGTTAAGTAGACAACATACAATCCTGGTGGAATTCCTGCAAATAGCCACGATTTCTCGAGTAGTTTTTCTTAAAATCGACAAAACTGAATCGATTTCCAGTCCCCCTTTCCCTGATCTCTAATTGGTCCAAAACTGATCGATAAAATCATGCAACCTTCAGAGGGTGGAAGGGGAATGGGTTTTAATGTAATTTGTAACTGGCGAAATTTGCGACCTAACGGGTGCTGGTTCAACGCGTTGCTTTGTCCCACAGGTCGCGCTCAATTGTCGTCGTCGAAGCACCGTTGGCTGGTCGCTTGGCAACGTGGTGTGCGACTTCGTTGGTGGAGTGCTCAGCGTCTTTCAGATGTTCCTCATCGCCTACAATCGAGGTAAGTGTTGGGGTGGTGAGGCTGTGGCAAGCGTTCACGCCTCAGTGCTCTCTGTTCAACCTCCAAGAAATCATTATTGGTAACAGGAAGCGCTGTGGTTTTTTCCACGTGCAACCTTCTCATCCCCCATTCCTGCTAAAACCGCGTCTACTTCATTAAACACGGGCAAAAAAGTAGCCCGTTTTTATGCGCTTCTCGGGGTAACTTTTCTCCATCCATTTTATTCTGGTGCAATTAAATTTTAAAACTGTGCTCCCGGTAGAAATGACACTTAATTTGGACGTGGATGCAGCGTGCCAGGGTGTTGGCCGTGTGTTTTGGGCTCGGCCTTGAATTACTTATTGACCAATCGAAACACGAGAGTTCGTTAAAACAAACGGCGGCTTTGAAAATACCCAAGCCAATCGATTTCATGGAATATCAATCATTATGTTTGCTTGTCTTGTTCAAACATTCGATGTGAAGTTGACCTGATGGCAACCTCTAGTCTTGCTGGTCTGAAGGTGACGCGTTTTACATACCGAATTTGTTTTAATCAATCGATTTCGTCTTGAAAGAAGCCTCTTGTTGAGGCCAACTAATTTCAGTACGAAAGTTGGATTACCTTGAATCCAAACCATCACAAGATCCCCGTGGGTATCGTGGGACCTATCTAGGACCGCGGAATACTTGATTTGCGAATCCCACTGAGGTGTGAAGGTTGGCCATGTTGGGTCGATTGCATCACCTCCTACGTCTGCGTTCCTCAGCGATCTTCCAAGGCACCGCAAACTATCGGACACGCATCTTTCGATGTTGGCACAGTTCCGTGTTGTGAAGTAAAATTATTTTACACCTGGCTGGCTGGCTGGCTGGCCGGAGCCAACGCACACGAGTTCATAATCGTCTTTGCGAACGATCAAATCGTTGGCGATGTGCCAAGTTAGTCGGCGCTTTGACAGTCGATTTTCGAAACACGCATTTGGAATCGATTGACAACCTGACCAGTCGTTTTTGGTCTACCACGGAAGGTGATGACCCTGCACAGGCGTGCATTGCATTCGAACTGACATTTTGGCAGGTGCTCGCGTCTACTTGTGGTGTTCCAGTGACATTAAAACCGAATTGCCTGTGGGTTTGAGTGGCTGTGTTTTCTGGTGCGTCTGGGCTTGTGTTTGTGTTAATGCGTGTGTCCACACTTACACATTCCCAATTTACATGCTTCTTCTTCATTGTTTAACGGAAATTCCGGTCGAGATTGTTCAACGCACACAGCTGCTGCCGCGCCAGCACATTCGTTACAAATCATCCACTCGCGTATATGTGTGACCATGTGGGTGGCTGCCGTCTCTCTGAAAACGCCTTGACGCAGACCTTCCACACGGTTCAAATTGCATTGCAAATTGAGCCCGTTTGTGTTGTTTTTTTGCGTCTTGTTTAACCCGCACACCCTCCCCCCAGCGATCGCTTTTAATTAAGAGGGCGTTCGGCCAATCTGGTGTGCCACCCAGACAACGTCCGCGCCCTGCCCCCCCGTCCATCCACACCCTTCCTGATGGGGACTGATTGGGTCACACCTTCAGCTGGACAACTCGTTTTGCTGTAATTAATCTCAATTTATCCCTCCCTACAGTCGCTGCTGTTTGTCTGTTTTGCAGCTCAACAACTCTCTATGGCTGTGCCACTTTTAATTTGGCTCAACCTCCGTTTGGGGGTAGATTAAAGTGTTTAAATCGCAAAGATATGATTTAAACATGAGAGAAATGTGTATTTCGGAGGCCCATAGCTCGTGTCCGGGTGTAGCTGTAGCGAAATCGGAGTGCTTTCTCTCTGCAAGTTTTCAGAATTGAGACATTTGAATCAATGCACAGACGTCTCATTGGCTCATCTGCTCTTTTAGATGAGGGCAAGGTCACTCAAAACACGCATAATTGATTAAATCGTGGACTTTGCTGGGTGGATATGGTGCCTTGTGCCTCAAGGCTTCCCTCTGGAGTGGATTTGTCACCTGGGGTTTAATTAGCTTTTGCGAATTCCCACTAAGACGCTCTCTCTCTATCGTCGTCCAATGTAATGCTCTCATGGTGGGGTTGCGTTGGTAAACATTCTCCAGGACCAGAATTCATCGACCCTCCAACAACGATAACCATGCGATTGCACTAGCTCCTTTATCGGCCGTCGTGTTGTCTTCTGTCCACCAGATGACTGGACAAGCGTCATCGGATCTCCCACGAAACTGATCTTAGGACTGATCTCCGTAGGGTTCGACTGCATCTTCTTCGGCCAGCACCACTGCTACGGATCATCCGGCGACGTGGTGCAGGTGGACGACGACGGCGTGGAAGAATCAGCCGGACTCGTAGGCGACTCGAATCAGGCATCGCAGGCTTCATCTCGTGATTCAGTCCCTGCTTAGCTGGTCATCCGTTCTCCTAGCCAATCACAACCCAGTGTCCTAATGGCGGGCATTTAAAATCACTCGAATTTTGATATTATCGATTTGTTACTTTTAACTGTAGTCAGTGTATTTTGATGTATGGTTGCTTGACTTCTTATGCTGTTTCTCAACATAAATTTGTGTTTTTTTTAGTTTGTTTTATACACTTTACGTGCACCAGATGTGGTTTTGCTCATGTGGGAAAATTTCACTGCAATAAGCTAGCGTATTCAGTGGTTGTTGACAGGCGCTGTGCAGTTACGGGTAAAAGTTGTAACTGTCCTCACTAATTATGCCACAGCGTGACAACCAAACACGAACAACGCAGGGCTGATTTGCGCACTCGAACGCCGTTTTTTCTTCACTTTCGTGTGTTTACTTGATTTCCTCGCGGTGAATGCGATGTTCGTTTGGCTGCGGTTAGTTCTCGATACGATTTTCCATCGAGAATTGAAGTTAATCAACTTGCCACGTCGTCAGAAAAATCGATTTTCCTTGGTTGTTCCAATGCACGCCTCATTGAAGCAACTCGCGAGGGTTCAAATAATGTGAATTTATCACATGACCAGGGTGTTTTAGAAGCTGTAACCACGGAAAATCCTAATCACACTTTCGGGCCAATTAGAAATTTCTTGAATGGTTCCTCTGATTTGAAAAGAAATTGCTCCTGAATGTCAGAGAGGATGTCGTTTTCTGCTGCAATAATGCTCGTCGTCACGCGGCTTCGCACCAAAATTCTCTTGAAATGATTGGCCTCAGTTTGTGATCAAAGTTTCTTTGATTAAAGACCACTCTTTAGTCTGGAGTTATTCTTCACCGTAATGCCGTGCTTATTTTTCAGAATGGCGTCAGCAACATCTGAAAGGTGATTAAGTGCAAACTCATGCATCAAAACTTGTCTGTTCGTTTCTGAATGTATTTGACGCTAAAATGGGTCACTCTGGTACCCAACTGCCATGTGGAATTACTCCTTTGTATTCCAGAGATTGTAGGGAAGTATTAATCATTGCGCAAATCTGCTTCACCACGATATCTGAAAACAGATTCAACAGTTCCTGGAAGATCTTTCCATGAACTTGTTAATTTAAATCTGTGAAGGGAACAAGCTGTTGTGTTTATGCCTAATTTTCGTTTGATTCTATCCTGAAATCGAGCACTTGTCTTACCCATGTTATCTGCTTGTCAAAACGTCTTTACAATGAGTCCACGTCGTTTAATCGTCCAGATAGCTGTTAATGGACTTAAGAACAGTCGTGATTAAGACTCATCCTGTGTACATCATTGGTAGGAACTATTTCAAGACACTGACAGATCGAAGTGTTTGTGGGGCCTACAGATCATTTGCTAGCAATCACAACAAACCCCCATAGAAGCAATTCACAAATCTCTTATCCAACCACGTCATCAACGATTACGAGACGTGCTTTTACAGCTTCTGCCAAAGCCCTAAGTAGCACGTCAAAATGATGAATTAAGTGGCATTATCACTAATTTGACGTGCAAGTCGACAGTACAAGTGGTGAGACTAAGGAGAGGAGAGGAGAATGCTGTCTTTCCTAGTTACCAGTTAGCTTCTGCACGTGTGCTTTTCCCTACAAGTCGTCATTTGTCGCTGGTTTCGCTGAAAGCAGTCAGACACACCGATCTGGAATGTGTCATATAAAGTCACGTGCAAATCTCTTTGACTGGTTTAACAGAGGTCTTGGAAAGAGGATTAACACGAATTATATCCGTGTAATTATGGAGTTACTGCGGTTTCAGCTACACTCAGTAAATTAATGAAGAAAACGGTCAGAAAAACGTCCCCGTTATTTTGAGGTGTTATATTAAGGTAAATAACATTTAGAGTTTCTCAATAAATATGCGACATAATCCATTCTTTGAGTATACTTTCTTGAAACTTGAATCTGCCCGGAGTCTAGGAAAGAGTTTGAAAATGCTGGCTACAATGTCATTGGATCAAGGTCAGTCGGAAAAGATCAGGACAAGAAGGCGTCAAGCCATTCCCAAGTCAAAATACAATACAAATTCATCTCATTTGACTGACGAAATGTACTTCCGAACCCTGTACAGATGCTTTTGACATTTAAATAATCATACACAGATGCCAATGAGATCAATTCCTTCCTGATGATCCCTCATTTTGTCTTCCTACGTCTTATGATTTGGCCTGGTGTTGTCGTGAGGAAACAAGATGCTTTTCCAATTAACTAAAACCGCACAGTTTGAGTAGAGGCGTGTGTAACTGAAGGGTAAAGCACATATTTCGCATAATAGAGGAAGCAATCTACAGGCAGGAAATCGTAACGCTCAAAATCTAACTGGCCGGTTGAGTAAGGCAAGCGTAGGTACTAAAAAGGTACGCATGATGACCAATGTGGGCAATCGAAAAGACCTGATTGCTGTTTAAACTGGTCGTCAGTTTATTCACTTCATTTAAACAAACCGCCATTTCGAGAATACGCCAAAAGATATCTGAAACAGTTTTAAGTTCTCTTTGTTGCTTAGCACTTTAATCACCTGTAACTGCATCATATAGCACAAATGGTGTGTTTTTTTGACGATTTTACATCAAATCATTGGTTTCTTGTCATGTTACTAATATCAGTCCTGTTTAAACTTAACCGGACTATGGTAATTGAAGTTGTGAATTGTTTATTCATACGAACATGCAAAAACCACTTTTACATGCAACACATTTCGCAGTTTCTTAACTCATAAGTGGCACTAAATTTTTTTTCTAATTAAAACTAATTTCGACCAGAAAATAGAGATGCATTGGCAGACAGAACGCCAGGTAGGACGGTTTATGGATGGTCTTGTGGTGGCGGCGTCTTTCAATTCAGCCAGCAGCGCAATTGCGTTGATTGCGCCATTTGGAATTTAATTGGTGTCTGGGGGACGTGTCTGTGTCAGTTTAAACAAGCAAGTCTCCTGACAAGATTGCCTTGAATGCCAGATCCCGGGTTAATCAATTTGTTATCCAGTTTAACCAGGAAAACTTATGCTTATATCTTGTCTTAGAGGCAGTTTGTTCGTTATTTTGATCGAGACACTTACACCCAATCAGATTGCAGATAAGCTAGAATTATCCTGGCCTTACCATTTGCGTTGAGAAAATCAAAGATGCTTAAACTCGTTCATGTTATTGTCAAAATATATCATGAGCCAGTACTTCGTCACGTGTTGGAACTAAAACAGAACAAATTCAAGGCGTCTATTTCAATTCTGCTCCTGATCTGAGAACAGATAGAGTGTATGTTATTCGATAAATTCAGGTCCAGAATTTACCGTGACCTAATTCATGATTTCTAGCAAAATTTTGACAGAACGAAACACATCTGACAATGCCTCCACGACTGTCAACAGGTTGAACCTCCAACGAAATGGGCTGTGCACACCAACAGCCTGAGCAAAACGAAGCTGCAAGCGTTGTGAGGTGAAAGATCAGAATCTACGACAAACCGTGGATGTCAGCAATGTGTCCGCTGGATTAGATGTCTTTGTGAAAGACTTGGCTTAGGATTGTCAAAATCCCCTTGTCTGAATTTACACACAAACTGAAAAACTAACTTATTTTAGAATAGTTAGGTCTAAGAGGCAGTTAGCTAGTTCTTTAATAAAATATCTTAATCGGAATAGCGAAAGCATTTCATATTTTTCTCATTAAATTTGGCGTTAGAGAGCCTGGTCTGACCCTCTTTCAGAATATTTTTTGCACCAAGAGGGAGGCCAGCGAGTAGAACAAAATTTTTCGGAGAAGACAGATGCCTTCTTGCTTAGTTTATTGCCTTCTTAGGTAAAGCTCTTGGATTGGTTGAAGATGATGAGTCTTCGCTAAGGTCGAGTTCTTTAAGGCAGCCTCCAAGGTATACGATAAAATGGAAGCAGAAACATCTACATCGTCCAAGTTAGAGGCAAACGGCACGTCATCCCAAACACTTGCGTTTGCATCGACGAAGGAGCAGTACAGTGGTTCTGGCCACCGACTTTCCATGTTCAAACGAGAGCAAACTGCCACACTTTGAATCGGCTTATCGAAGTTTCCTTCTCTTGATGACACACGATGCTGCACAAAATAGACATGTCTCGTTGCAAAACAACTTCTTTTGGAGTAAAATTTACGATGAAATCAAACTGGCAGCAGTCAAATTCTCCCTTGCAAAAACAGTGACATCATGGGATATTCAGTGAATGTGGAGATCGAGATTGGTGCTGAATTGGACCGTGTCCCCTTGGAATTATGTCTCTTGTGCTCTCAGCGTTCAATCACACGGCTAAATTTCGACGAGCATTCATACTCGACTGTACATTATTTAATTGGTTCTGACATTGCATTAATAAAATCGAGATCGGTTTTAATGCTTGATTTATTGGAAGAAACCAAAGTACACATGTTTGCCACAAAACACAACACGTTGGGCGAGTTCTTGAACATACCTTCAATTCATTTCGAGAGTTTAAATAAAGGTAAAAAGCCTTCAATTTCACGACGTCTTATGGTTAACTCGGCTTTTCATTTTGCTACTGCACTACTGCATGCTATATAAAACTGACAACTATGCGATAGTATGTTTCGTTTGTGCCCAACCACGATAATACCCAATCAGATGACCGGCACCCAGATCCCGTGTCTGACGCTACAAACGGCCTGCCCACGCCAATGCGAGACAAGATCGGACCACGTGCAGAGAGCTTCTGTCGTCTCAGCCAAAGGCCGTGTGGTCTGACAGCATGTCAGCACTTAAATAAGTCAGGTGTGACCTTGATGTGATGGATGAAAGCAGATTAACACAGATTGGGTTGGCAGTGTAGGGTCCCGCAGGCGACTCACCTTCTGATGTGGCCTGGTTAGGGCATTATTGTAAATAGTGTTAAAAACCGGTGATAGGCCATTTTGGAGAAAAAATTCTGGATCCCCAACTATCTACGAAGCAGTGATTCCTGGCACAAATGTGCTTAACCAAACACCTTCGTGA